ACTAAACACTGTCTACTGGATACATGGGTTTGCTTACGGGAAGTGGTACTAAACACTGTCTACTGGATAAATGGGTTTGCTTACGGGCAGTGGTACTAAACGCTGTCTACTGGATATATGTGTTTTCTTACGGGCAGTGGTACTAAACACTGTCTACTGGATAAATGGGTTTTCTTTAGGGCAGTTGTTCTAAACACTTTTCCTACGGGCAGTGGTACTTAACACTGTCTACTGGATAAATGGGTTTTTCCTAAGGGCAGTGGTACTAAACACTGTCTACTGGATAAATGGGTTTGCCTAAGGGCAGTGGTACTAAACACTGCCTACTGGATAAATGAGTTTTTTTACGGGCAGTGGTTCTAAACACTGTTCTTACGGGCAGTGGTACTAAACACTGTCTACTGGATAAATGAGTTTGCCTAAGGGCAGTGGTACTAAACACTGTCTACTGGATAATTGGGTTTTCTTAAGGGCAGTGGTACTTAACACTGTCTACTGGAATAAATGGGTTTTCTTACAGGCAGTGGTAATAAACTCTGTCTACTGGATAAATGGGTTTTCTTACAGGCAGTGTAACTAAACACTGTTAACTGGATAAATGGTTTTGCTTATGAACAGTGGTTCTAAACACTGTCTACTGGATAAATGGGTTTTCTTACGGGCAGTGGTACTAAACACTGTCTACTGGATAAATTGGTTTGCTGACGGGCAGTGGTACTATACACTAGCTAATGAGTAGATGTTACACTCTAGCTAATGAGTAGATGGTACTCTTGGGTACCTTAACCACAGTGGGAATAAACTCTGTCTACTTGGTAGATTATACATTAAAGTATCCTAACAAGCAGTAGTACTGAACCTTGTCCACTGGGCAGAGTTGTACCCTTCACAGCAGTGGTACTAAACACTGTCTACTGTGTAGGTGGTAGACTTGGATACCCTTACCGGCAATGCTACTAACACTGTCCACTGGGTAGATGATACACTTTTAACCTGTAGTGGTACTAAACAGTGCCTACATTTGGTTAACCTTACTGGCAGTGGTTCCAAACAATTATCTTCTGAATGTGAATAACTAACGTGTACTGGGTAGAATGTAAACATGGATACCCATACTGGCAGTGGTACTTAATAGCATCTACTGGGTAGACAGGTTCCCTTTCTTGCAGTGGTACTGAACACTGTCTACTTTGTAGATTGTACATTTGGTTACCCTTACAGCAATTGTGCTTCTACTGGGAAGAAGAGTGCCCTTACAACATAGTACCACTGCCAGTATGTGTATCCAAGTTTACACTCTACCCAGTACACGCTAGTTATTGCCACTAAGAAGACAATTGTGTATACCACTGCTGGTTATAGTAACCAAATGTAGCCATTGTTAAGTACCACTGCTGTTTTAAAGTGTATCATCTACCCAGTAAATAGTGTTAAGCACTACTGATGGTAAGGATACCCTTACCACAGCTGTAATGACCTCTTGTCTACTGGGTGCATGATACACTATGATACCTTTTAAAGCAGTGGTACAAAATACTGTAACGGATAGATGAAGCCCTTACCAGCAGTGGTACTAACCACCGTCTACTGGATAGATGATACACTTACAGGCTTTGGTACTAACCACCGTCTACTGGTTATATGATACACTTGGATACCAGTACCAGCAGTGGTACTAACCACCATCTTTTGGGTAGATGATACACTTGAATACAAGTACCAGCAGTGGTACTAAACACTTTACTGTGTAGAATGTATACTTTATACCTGCAGTGATACTTAACACTGTCTGTTAGGTAGAATGTATCCATACCAGCAGTGGTATATGATACACTTCACAGAAGTGGTACTTAATACTCTACTGGGTATATGATCAACTTAGGTACCCTTGCAAACAATGGTACTTTATACTCTACTGGGTATATGATCAATCAACTAAGGTACCCGTGCAAACAATGGTACTTACATTGTCTACTGTGAAGATGATATAGTGGGATACTATTGGGTAGATGGTTCACTTGGATACACTTAGCAGTAGTGGTAATAAACACTGTCTACCGGGTATGTGATACACTTGGATACCCTTACAAGCTGTGGTACTAAAATTTCTACCAGAAATATGATACACTTCCATACCCTTACCAGCAGTGGAACTAACACTGTCTACTGGGTAGATGCTACACCTGGATACCCTTATCAGCAGTGGCACTTAACACTATCTGCCTTGTATATGATACACTTGGATATCCTTATCAGCAGTGGTACTAAACACTATCTACTGGGTCGATGATATACTTGGATACCCTTACCAGCAGTAGTACTGAACCTTGTCCACTGGGCAGAGTTGTACCCTTCACAGCAGTGGTACTAAACACTGTCTACTGTGTAGGTGGTAGACTTGGATACCCTTACCGGCAATGCTACTAACACTGTCCACTGGGTAGATGATACACTTTTAACCTGTAGTGGTACTAAACAGTGCCTACATTTGGTTAACCTTACTGGCAGTGGTTCCAAACAATTATCTTCTGAATGTGAATAACTAACGTGTACTGGGTAGAATGTAAACATGGATACCCATACTGGCAGTGGTACTTAATAGCATCTACTGGGTAGACAGGTTCCCTTTCTTGCAGTGGTACTGAACACTTGTCTACTTTGTAGATTGTACATTTGGTTACCCTTACAGCAATTGTGCTTCTACTGGGAAGAAGAGTGCCCTTACAACATAGTACCACTGCCAGTATGTGTATCCAAGTTTACACTCTACCCAGTACACGCTAGTTATTGCCACTAAGAAGACAATTGTGTATACCACTGCTGGTTATAGTAACCAAATGTAGCCATTGTTAAGTACCACTGCTGTTTTAAAGTGTATCATCTACCCAGTAAATAGTGTTAAGCACTACTGATGGTAAGGATACCCTTACCACAGCTGTAATGACCTCTTGTCTACTGGGTGCATGATACACTATGATACCTTTTAAAGCAGTGGTACAAAATACTGTAACGGATAGATGAAGCCCTTACCAGCAGTGGTACTAACCACCGTCTACTGGATAGATGATACACTTACAGGCTTTGGTACTAACCACCGTCTACTGGTTATATGATACACTTGGATACCAGTACCAGCAGTGGTACTAACCACCATCTTTTGGGTAGATGATACACTTGAATACAAGTACCAGCAGTGGTACTAAACACTTTACTGTGTAGAATGTATACTTTATACCTGCAGTGATACTTAACACTGTCTGTTAGGTAGAATGTATCCATACCAGCAGTGGTATATGATACACTTCACAGAAGTGGTACTTAATACTCTACTGGGTATATGATCAACTTAGGTACCCTTGCAAACAATGGTACTTTATACTCTACTGGGTATATGATCAATCAACTAAGGTACCCGTGCAAACAATGGTACTTACATTGTCTACTGTGAAGATGATATAGTGGGATACTATTGGGTAGATGGTTCACTTGGATACACTTAGCAGTAGTGGTAATAAACACTGTCTACCGGGTATGTGATACACTTGGATACCCTTACAAGCTGTGGTACTAAAATTTCTACCAGAAATATGATACACTTCCATACCCTTACCAGCAGTGGAACTAACACTGTCTACTGGGTAGATGCTACACCTGGATACCCTTATCAGCAGTGGCACTTAACACTATCTGCCTTGTATATGATACACTTGGATATCCTTATCAGCAGTGGTACTAAACACTATCTACTGGGTCGATGATATACTTGGATACCCTTACCAGCAGTGGTACTGAAAACTGTCTACGGTACTAGGTAGATGATACAGTGTATACCTTTAATACCTTTACCAGCGGTGGTATTTAAACTATCTCCTCGGTAGATGGTAAGGGTAGTGAAGTCTATGATTAATCCAGTAGACAGTGTTTAGTATCACTGCTTGTAAGGGTACATTCCCTCATTGTATCATTTACCCAATAGACAGAGGTCATCTCGGTACCAGCAGTGGTATTCTTGAATACTCTTACCAGCAGTGGTTTAAAACACTGTCTACTGGGTATATTATACATTTATATACCCTTACCAGCAGTCGCTATTATTTATATTCCCCTGTCTCTAAGGGAAGAGGCCATTTAGTGTTACCCTTTTCCGTCTGTCCTTAAGTTCTCTCCTCCATCCCATTTTTGTTTCCGCACTGTTACTGAAGTTTTTATCATCTGAATTTTATGAAATTAAACCACAATGCTAAGAACCAAAACTTCCAGACAGAGTGTAAATTTGTGCAGTTAGTCATTGATTGTAGAGTTATGCCCGTTTATAACTTGGAAAATTCCAATTTTTTTTATTTCCCCATTCTAACGTTTATCCAAATTTTATAAAACTCATTCACAATATTAAAAACCAAAACTCCCAGACAGAGTTTGATTTAGGCAGTGAGTTACTTACCGTTTTAGAGTTATGCCCCTTTATAACTTGCAAAATTGCAAATTTGTTCATTTAATCAGCATTCTAACTTAAGTTTTCTGGATCCAAATTTTATGAAACTCATACACAATGTTAAGAACCAAAACTTGCAGACATAGTTCAAATTTGGGCAGTGAGTCACTTGTCGTTCTAGAGTTACACCCTTTTATAACTTAGCAAAATTGCAATTTTTATTAAACTCATACACAATGATAAAGAACCAGTGTCCTTGGACACATTCTTCTTTTACTTTTGTTTAAAGTTTCTACCTATCTGTTATAGTTAATGAGATAATGGTCAAACACTTGAAAAATTAGTCAAATATCATTATTTCAGTGAAATAATTACTATAAGATGTCTTCCAAATTTTTTGTCTATATAAACTTTTTTGAAGATCTTGTATATTTAGTCTTTTTTGCTGTTTACAATTTTTATCTTTTTATTGTTGTTTTGAGATTATATGCAAAAACCCTAAAATTAGACAAAAATCAGCATGCAAGGTAAAAAAAATACATCACAGTGCATATTTCTCTGTTTTCAGACAGTCATGTCAGAGAAATCCTCAAGTGTTACTGCTGGACCAAGGATTGAAGGTATTTTCTTAAACATTATTTCATTATAGAATTAACAAATGATAATATAATGAGAGGGAGGTCCCTATTTATTTTAAGGTCACCAGGTCAAATGACAAGGTCAAAATTACTTTAAATAGACTGAAATCAGTTCAGAAAAGGGGTGTCCAAATGCAGGGGTTCAAATTTACTTTAGGCAATTGAAGGTCCAGTACCTTTGACCAAACAATACTAAAAGGTCCTCCTTTATTCTTAGAACAGTATAATTTTAATTGAAAATTCAGTTAAGAAAAAAACAGAATATGCTTACCCTTCAACCCTATTATATCCTACTACATCAACCTCATTTTTTCTGAATTTCTAAAATAAATTCAGTCAGAAAAAGGGCTTCACTCTTTTCCATTCCAACACTATACACTGTGTTTAATAACACTTTGTACTTTTTTAGCTCACCTTTCCAAAGGAAATGTGAGCTTTTGCCATCACTTGGCGTCTGTTGTAGTCTGTCCGGTGTAAACTATTTCAAAGATCCTCTTCTCTGAAACTACTGAACCAATTACAATCAAACTTTAGCTGAATGATCCTTGGGGTATTTAGAATAAAGATCTTGTTTTATTTTCTGTTTCGTCAAAAAACATGGCCGCCATGGCTAAAAATAGAACATAGGGATAAAATGCAGTTTTTTGTCTCGCTTGACGGAGTCAAAAAGCAAGACATAGGTATGCTGTTAACGGCGGCGGCGTCAACAATGCATTAGTTTGTGATTAGGTCTAGTTTATGGTGAACCACTAGTGGTAAGTCAAAGATATTTGGTATGCAGTTGTATTAGTATTGGCACATCTCATTACCATGGAGATTATTTGGCCCCGCTCCCTCAGTCATGGTCTATTGACTTTGAAACTTTTGCTTAGTTTTCATGTATTAGTTTGTGATTAGGTCGGTTTATGGTGAACCACTAGTGGTAGGTCAATGATATTTGGTATGCAGTTGTATTAGCATTGGCACATCTCATTACCATGGAGATTGTTTGACCCCGCCCCCTCAGTCATGGTTTATTGACTTTGAGTTTTTGCTTAGTTTACATGTATTAGTTTGTGTTTAGGTTTGTTTAAAGGGAACTGCTTATGATAAGTCAACAGTATTTGGTATGCAGTTGTATCAGCATTGGCACATCTCATTTCCATTGAGATTGTTTAGCCATGTACCTTCAGTCATGGTTCATTGACTTTGAATATTTGCAAAACTTACATGTTAAAGTGTTGTTAGTTTAATTTCAACATTTGCATTATCGAAATTACAAAAAAGTGAGACATATCTCTGTGATAATAGTTTATGATTTATATCAAAAACTTTTTGAGCAAATCAGACAAGAAGTTAAAGTATTCATTAGGTCAAGTGCAAATCTGACAGGGGGTAAAAATGTTCATTAGGTCAAGTTCTATCAGCCCTGAAATTTTCAGATGAATCCAAAAACACATTGTTGGGTTGCTGCCACTAAATTGGTAATTTTAAGGAAATTTGGCAGTTTTTTGTCGAGCCTGCAACTTTTGTCGCAGAAAGCTCGACATAGGGATAGTGATCCGGCGGCGGAGGCGTTAGCTAACTTCTTAAAAGCTTTATATTTTAGAAGATGGAAGACATGGATGCTTCATGTTACGAAGTTTCCGTCAGTCACATGTCCAATGTCCTTGACCTCATTTTCATGGTTCAGTGAATACTTGAAAAAAAAGTTAAGATTTTTTGTAATGTTAAATTCTCTCTTATTATAAGTAATAGGATAACTATATTTGGTATGTGCGTACCTTGCAAGGTCCTCATGCCCGTCAGACAGTTTTCACTTGACCTCGACCTCACTTCATGGATCAGTGAACAAGGTTAAGTTTTCATGGTCAAGTCCATATCTCAGATACTATAAGCAATAGGTCTAGTATATTCGGTGTATGGAAGGACTGTAAGGTGTACATGTCCAACTGGCAGGTGTCATCTGACCTTGACCTCATTTTCATGGTTCAGTGGTTATAGTTAAGTTTTCGTGTTTTGGTCTGTTTTTCTTATACTGTATGCAATAGGTCTACTATATTTGGTGTATGGAATGATTGTAAGGTGTACATGTCTAGCTGGCAGGTGTCATCTGACCTTGACCTCATTTTCATGGTTCAGTGGTTATAGTTAAGTTTTTGAGTTTTGGTCTTTTTTTCTAATACTATATGCAATAGTTCAACTATATTTGGTGTATGGAAATATTTTATAATCTATATGTCAGTCACGCAGGTTTTGTTTGACCTTGACCTCATTTTCAAGGTTCATTGCTCAGTGTTAAGTTTTTGTGTTTTCGTCTGTTTTTCTTAAACTATAAGCAATAGGTCAACTATATTTGTTGTATGGAAGAATTGTTAGCTGTACATGCCTGCCTAGCATGGTTCATCTGACCTTGACCTCATTTTCATGGTTCATTGGTCAATGTTTAGTTTACTTGGTTAATGTTAAGTTTATGTGACAGTTGTAATAAAGCTTTATATTTAGGACTATCAACATAATATCAATGATTAGTAAAGAAGGCGAGACATTTCAGCGTATGCACTCTTGTTGTTATTACCTTGAATATTGTTATAGATAAAGATAAACTATAAACTGCAAAAACGTTCAGTGAAGTAAGATCTACAAATAACAAAATTGTCAATTGACCTTTTAAGGAGTTATTGCCCTTGAAAGACAATTTTACACAATTTGCTTATCATGTTTTCTAACTTTAAAAAATCTTCTCCTGAAATTTCTGAACAAAATTAAACCAAACTTAAGCTGAATGATTCTTAGGTTAGCTAGAGTAAAGTTTGTGTTTTAATTTCTGTTTCCTTAGAGAACATGGCTGCCTTAGCTTTAAATAGAACATAGGGTAAAATGCAGATTTTATACGACAGCAAAATTTTTTTGGGGTTCGTATAATGCTATGATGTCGTCGTCGTCTTCCGAAGACACATTTGGTTTCCGGACAATAACTTTAGTTAAAGTGAATGGATCTCTATGAAATTTTTAAAGAAGGTTCAATACCACAAAAGGAAGGTTGGGGTTGATGGTCCCAACCCTTTAGGAAAAAGGGGCCCAAAACAAGCATTTTTCTAGTTTCAGGATAATGACTTGTGTAAAAGTATTTGTACCGCAATGTTAAATACCACAAGTAGAAGGTTGGGATTCATTTTGTGGGTTATGGTGCCAACAGTTAAGGAATTAAGGGTCACAAAGGGCCAAAAACAAGCATTTTTGTAGTTTCCGGACAATAACTTGTGTGTAAGTGTATGGATCTCTCTGACATTGTACCACAAGGTTCCATATCACAAAGGGAAGGCTGGGATTGAGTTTGGGGGTAATTGCTCCAAGGGGGGATTAAAAAAGTTTGGGGGGGGATTTTTTTCCAATTTTTTTAAGGGGTTCAAATTTTTGAAAAGATTCAAGAAGAAATCTTCAATTGCACAGTATTGCACTATAGATTTGTAAGATCTTTGACCACATTTATTTTGTGTCGGAAACCTATATTATGTCAAAAATTTTATCACAATCCAAATTCAGACAGTATCAAGCTTGAATATTGTGTCCAAATTTGCCCCAACTGTTCAGGGTTCCACCTCTGCTGCCATATCAGGCTGCGCTCTGTAAAGCATTTTATTGATTTATATCTCAAAAACTAAAGCATAGTGAGCAAATCAGACAAGAAGTTAAAGTATTCATTAGGTCAAGGTCTACCTGCCCTGAAATTATCATCCAAATCTGGTATATTTTTTTTTAGGTTATTGCCCCTGAATTGATGATTTTAAGGAATTTTGCAGTTTTTGGTTATTATCTTGAATATTAATATAGATAACGATGAACTGTAAACAGCAAATATGTTTAGCAATTTTGAAAGTAAGATCTGTAATAAGTTTGTATGACCAAAATTGTCAATTGACCCTTTAAGGAGTTATTGCCCCTTAAGGACAATTTTTCACAATTTGTTCATCTTAAGTTTGCTTACTTTAAAAATCTTCTCCTTTGAAACTGCTGAATCAATTTCAGCCAAACTTGGGCTGAATGAGTTTCAGAGTATCTTTTATAAATTTTGTATTTTATTTCCATGTACGTCAAGAAACATAGCCACTATTGCTAAAATGGAATATAGGGGTAAAATGCACTTTTTTTGCTTTTGAAGAAAATATGACAGATACAACGAACATTTAAATGGCATTTTTAAGCCACTCATTAATATATTATTCTTATTTGATTTGCATATGAGGGGATACGTTATATGATTGGTCAAGAGGGCTTCCGGTAGTGCCTCTTGACGTTATTTATTTTTCGATAGACGACGTTGACAGAACTACTTTTTGTAACCAATGTAATCAAGATGGCGGCAACGTTCAAAATATTTATTTTCACTTCAACTTAATCGTTAAATCAAATAATACACCCAAAACATTTATTTGAATGATATATTAAGATAATTTTGTGGTGTATTTTTTATCAGATAGCAACTTTCATGACTTGTTTCCTTCGGACTTTTATTTGTTTGTGAGTGACTTGGTCGAATTTATACACCAATAAATTTCTTAAAATAGGCGTTTAATCCTATAATATTGAAAAGCAAAAATAATCATCGATGAAGATTTAAGCCAAAAATTTCAGGTGAGCGATTCAGGCTCTTGAGAGCCTCTTGTTAATTGTTCTGGTTTCAACTGCTGCTTGAGAAGACACTGGCCTAACTTGTCAGATAACAGCTGGACTTTCTTTTCAATATTCTTTTAGGTATTTTCATGATTTTTTATTGGGTCAAGTTTTAAGTTTTGTGTCAAACAAACCAGGGCACTTTGCCTTAAACTGTGTGTTGGATTAACCAGTTTAATCATCGAAATTCATCCAAGGAGGATTAACCGTCTAATGGGGCAAAAATTTTCGTTCTCACTTTTCCCCGTCATAATTTTGGTCTTTAGCTGTCAGAACCTGTCTTTCAGGCTGTTTCAATAATCAGTCATACTGTATCACCTGTTTCTTCA